GTTACTGACTCAGCACACTCTCCCGGCCTAACTGGGTCGTTTCATCTGCAGTATACATCACTCTGGATCCACACACAGCCAACCCGTGGCTCATCCTTTCAGAGGATCGGAGACAAGTGCGTCTTGGAAACATGCAGCAGGAAGTGCCTGAAAAGGAGGAGAGATTTGATACTTATCCCATGGTCCTGGGTGCCCAGTGCTTTTGCTCTGGAAAGCTTTACTGGGAGGTGGATGTGACAGGAAAGGAGGCCTGGGACCTGGGGGTTTGTAGAGAGACTGTGCAGAGGAAGGGGCATTTTGTGCTCAGCCCTGAGAATGGCTTCTGGACAATTTGGCTGTGGAACAAACAAAAATATGAGGCTGGCACCTATCCCCAGACTCCCCTTTCCCTTCAGGTGCCTCCACGCCAAATTGGGATATTCCTGGACTATCAGGCCAGCACTGTCTCCTTCTACAACATCACTGACCATGGCTCCCTCATCTACACTTTCTCTGAATGTGCCTTTGCTGGACCTCTGCGGCCCTTCTTCAATGCTGGTTTCAATGATAATGAAAGGAATGGATCCCCTCTGACCCTCTGTCCACTGAGGAATGAATGGTCTGGATCCACTGACTGTTGACAACTCTCCCTGGATACCAACACCCCCTCTGTTGGTAGCCACTGACCCTGCCTCATGTTCCCATGAGCTCTGAACCACTTCGTCTCTGCAGAGGTGTCAGGATGCCAGCAAGCCGACTTTGGCAGGGAGGTCTCTGGAAGTCTGTCTTATGACCTTCAACATCAATATTCCTGCCCTAGAATGCTTTATAACTCCCTCCATAAAACTACTTATATATGGCCCAAACTCATCTAGATCAAACAAAACATGTTTCTGCCTTCCTTATGTGCCTCAAGTTTTGTGTCTTCCTCTCCATCTCCAGGCTTCCACTAAGATGTCTATTATATATGTTGCATAGTTTACAAACGGACTTCTGAAATAAACTGGGCCTCGTCTATTCCACTTAATCCCTGTACACATGTATGATTATCTCTCTGACATATACACATCTGATTATAAGTGGCTCCACACTGCCTACTGATAAACAGCTATACTTTTTAAAGGTTGGATTATGCATGCCTCAGACTTCCATGTTAAATATCCAGCCTGTTGTACTCCCCGATTCCCGCTGTGTTCTCCCAACTACATCTTGTTGATAATGGAGTTGGTTAAAGGGCATATCAACTTAAATAGAAAGTGTAATAGTTTTTTAATGTGTCAATTTAGGCTATAATTCCCCTGTTTTTCAATCAAACACTAACCTAGATGTGTTAGTGTGAAGCTATTTTGTAGATGTCATTAAAGCCCAAGGTCATTTGTATTTAAGGAACTTTGAATTAGACCCAGCCACCTTATCCAGGACAATCAGGAAAGGCCTTCAGAGTAGAACTGAAGCTTCCCAGAAAAAGGACAGGCATGAGCTGAAGCTGCTCTTCACAGGTAAACAGTTCCAGCCGGGCCTATGGATTTAGGACTTGCCTTGTCAGCCCCCACAATTGTGTGAATGAACTCCTTCAATAAATCTCTTCATACTTATCTCCAACTAGTTTTGCTTTTTCCTGTTGAGCCCTGATTGGCATGAAGGCTAGGTAACGGCATCACCTGGTGACAGTAAGCACTTTAAGCTTCTACGGGTGGAACAGTGAAGCTGGGCACCTGTGTGATAGTAGGCTGTGAGAGAACCACTGTCCTTCCAGGAATGCTGATTCCTGATCTAAGATAGAATCTCAGAGATGGGTCTAAGCTGGTGGTATAGTAAGAGCCTAAACCCACCTCCCACATTCACATCAAATCTACACCTGCATGATGAGAGATAAAAAGACAAACAGAAACAGAGACATGGTAAAAGAGAGAACCTTACACATAACCCCCCACCCCACCCTACAGTAGGAAGGGACCTCACTGAGGAAGCAGAGAGCAACTTCACCTGCCCTGGGGCACAGGAAAGGAGCTGCAGCCACATTGTGAAGGCAAGTTATTTTCAGAACTAAAACACCCTCCAAACATTGGAGAAACTGCTAGGACTGTCTAGGACCAAAGGTTACCACTCCCTCCCCATGCTGCCCCCATATTGAAGGACAGACAGAAGCAGGTCAGAGTGTATACACCACCTCCAGAATTAACCAAGGAGATCTCCTGGACCTGCCCTGCCCTAAATATACCTGCCAGAAATCCAGCAGTCTCACCAAGGCAGCACCCACACAAATCTACCTTGCCCACACTGCTTCCACCCCCAGCCACCCAGTTAGTCTGGGCCCAACAGGTGCCCACCCAGGAGACCTCCAGACCTTTGACTCTCACCCCCAACTGCCCTGCCAGCAAGGTCCCGGCCTGGTGCCCAGCCAGGCGCCCTATGGACCATGTTGATCCATCTGTGACTGCCCCTCCAATGTAGCACCGGATGGCACCCACCATGCAGACCCCTAGACTATGGCCTTCTACACCCAGCTGCTTCATTAGCATGGTTCCAGGAGGCACCCAATTGGAAGACACTGAGACCATGGACTGAATAGACATGTATAAAACATTACATCCAAAACCAGCAGAGTACTCATTCTTCTCAAGTGCACATGGAACATTCTCCAGGATACATCACATGTTAGGCCACAAAGTCTCAATAAATATAAGAAGACTGAAATTATTCCAAGCGTCTTTTGTCACCAGAATGATATGAAACTGGAAATCAATTACAAGGAAAAAAACTAGAAAAAAATCCCCAAACATGTGGAAGCTAAACAGCATGCAACAAACCAACCAATGGGTCAATGAAGAAATCCAAAAATACTTGGAGAATAATAAAAATAGAAAAACAATGGTTCAAAATCTTTGGGGTGCAGTAAAAGCAGCTCCAAGAGGGAAGTTTACAATATTACATGCCTACCTCAAGAAGCAAGAAAAATCTCACCTAACCCTACACCTAAAGAAAAATCTAACCCTACACCTAAAGAAACTAGAAAGAGAAGAATAAAGCCCAAAGTTAGAAGAAGGAATTTATAAAGATCAGAAAAGAAAGAAATGAAATAGAGAATTTAAAAAAATACAAAAGATCAATGAAACTAAGAGTTGGTTCTATGAAAAGTTTTAAAAAATTGGCAAACCTTTGGCTAGAATCATCAAGGAGAAAAGACAGAAGACTCAAAATCAGAAATGAAAGAGAAGTTAAAACTGACACCTCAGAAAAACAAACAATCATAATACATTACTGTGAAAAATTATATGCCAGCAAATTCGACAACCTAGACCAAATGGAAAAATTCCTACAAACATCCAATTTTCCAAGACAAAAAGGAAGAAATAGGAAATACAAAAAGACCAATAACTAGTAACAAAATTGAATATGAAATCAAAATGCTCCCAACAAATAAGAGTTCAAGACGAGATGGCTTCACAGGATAATTCTACCAAATATTGAAAGAAGTGTTCATAGCTGTCGTTCTCAAACTATTCTAAAAATTGAAGAGGAATGAAAGTTTCCAAATATTCTACGAGGCCAGTATCACCTTGATACCATAGCCAGGCAAAGACACTAAAAAAAGAAAATCATAAACAATTGCTTCAAAAGAAATAAAAGACCTAAGTGTAAGTTTAACCAAAGAGCTGAAAGACTGTGCTCTGAAAACTGTAAGACTGGTGAAAGAAATTGAAGACACAAATAAATAGAAAGATATTCCCTGCTCATAGGTTGGAAGAATTAATATTGTAAAAATGGCCACACTGCCCAGAGTAACCCACAGATTCGATACAATCCCTATCAAAATACCAATGGCATTTTTCAAAGACTACAGCAAATAATCCTAAAATTTGTATGGAACCACAAAAGACCCTGAATATCCAAAGCAATCTTGAGGAAAAGAACAAAGCTGGGGTTATCATGCTCCCTGATTTCACACCCTACTACAAAACTGTGGCGATTAAACAGTACTGGCACAAGAGCAAATACATAGACCAGTGGAACAGAATAGAGAGACCAGAAATAAACCCATTCCTCTATATGGTCAATTAGTGTATGACAAATAAGGCAAGAATAAACAATGGGGAAAAGAGTCTGTTCAATAAAAAGATGGTGTTGTGAGTCCTGGACAGCTACAAATGAGCATGAAAGTGGATCACTGTTGTATACCATACATGAAAATAAACTCAAAATGGATTAAATGCCTGAATGTAAGACCTGAAGTCATAAAACTTCCAGAGGAAAACACAGGCAGTAAACTTTCATATTAGTAACTCTTTCATAATTCTTTGGGGGTTCTGTCTCCCGAAGGAAGGGAAACAAAATAAAAAATAAATGTGACTGCAACAAACTAAAAAGCTTCTGCACATAAAGGGTAACCATCAACAAAATGGAAAGTTACTTACTGTATGGGATTATAGATTTGCAAATGATATATTTGATGGGAGGCTAATATCCAAAAACTTTAAAGAACTCATACAACTCAGTAACAAAAAACACAAATAATCCAATTAAAAAATGGGCCAAGGACCTGAACATTTTATCAAAGAAGAAATACATGTGGGCAAAACACATGAAAAGATGCTCCACATTATTAATTATCAGGGAAATGCAAATCAAAACTACAATAAGATATCACTTCACACCAGTCAGAATAGCTGCTATTCAAAAGACAAGAAATAACAAGTGTTGGCAAGAGTGTGGAGAAATGGAAACACTCCTATACTGTTGGAGGGAATGTAAATTGATGCAACCACTATGGAAAGCAGTATGGAGGTTTCTCAAAAACTAAAAATAGAAATACCATACCCGCTCAGTAATTTTACTTTTGGAATTTATGCAAAGAAAAACAAAATCACCAATTTGAAAAGGTTTATGCGCTCCTATGTTTCTCACAGCATTACTTGCTATAGCCAAGTTATGGAAGAAACTCAAGTATCCATCAACAGATGAACAGATAAAGAAGATGTGGTGCATATGTACAGTGGGATATTACTCAGCCATAACAAGAATGAAATCTTGCCATTTGCCACAGATGGTTAGATCTAGAGGATATTATGCTAAGTGAAATAAGCCAGGTGGAGAAAGACAAATACCCTGTGGTTTCACTTAATGTGAAACCTATAAAACAAAAGGGAAAACAAACTCATAGATACAACAGACTGGTGGTTGCCATAAGAAAGGCCTGTGGGGGGATGAGTGAAGTAAGTTATAGGGGAAACATTGGAATGTTTGATTTGATCTAGGTGATGGTTACAGACTATATATATACATGTGAAAATTCATAGAGCTGTACAGTTAAATTTGTGCATTTTATTGTATGGACCTCAAAAGAACAAAATAAATAAATAAAATTTAATAATAATGGCCAAGACATTATCAGCTAAAAAAAAGACTACTAAATTGTCTTAGTAACTTCTAACTCATACAGAATGTGTTATTATTTTTGCATCCCATAACCATTGTCTTAACCAGTATTTTAAATAATTAATTGTTGCTTGATGCTTTATAAAAATACTAGAATATTTTACCAAGAATAAAAAATAATTAAAATTAAAAAAAATATTAGTATCTCATTTGTCCCACAGCACATCTCCTTAATATTTCATGAAAAATTTAGTTAATGTACAAGGATGTCAGTGACTTTGAAAAGAGTTTATTGATAAAAGGGTTGCTTCTAGGGATGCTCTATTTTAACACTGGGCAGAAAGATCCAAGAACTGAATTCTTAGACAAGATGACAACATTACAGAGCTAAGTCAATATAAACTGGCAAAGTCAACCAGTGCCTTGGTTGACAAACTGTAGGAAGAAAAGGAGGATCACTCAGTCCTATGTGAACGGGGGCGTACTGGGGAGTGGTAGTATTCTGTATGTCAGGGTCATGAAGAAATATTTTTAAGAAGAAGAAAAGATTATAAAATCATCTTTTCTGTGTCTCTGCCTTGGGATTGACTATGTAAATGATGGTTTGTTCCCTTCAATTGATATTCTGTTTGGGGGAGACTGCCATACAATATAAACTTAAATACTCCAAAAATCTGAATATCTTGGCCTGTCAGGTCACCCTGACACTCAGACACATACATTGCATAGATGACCTACAACCATCCCCTTGGTGTCCACAGAAGGAATTAAATAGTAGCAGTTTCATGGTACCTCTACTTTTTTCCCCATGAGCAATTACTAAAAGTGAACCCGAGCATGCTCCTGCACGTCACAGAAAAATTACGTTGAGAAGTGAGGGAAGATTGTCCCAGCACCAATCCTGTTTTGGTCAGTATTATCCTTTAAAACGCAATAAGGCCTATTGACTTTTTTGATCTCCTTTGATTCTACAACTTCTTTTTGTATTAGAAGAGGGAGAGATTAATACCAAAATTTTAAAAATAAGCAAAACAGAAAGAAGTTAAAAATTTATCCACTGTTTACTCTGTGTTATGCATATTCAAGATCCTGTTTATATTTTCTGTTTTTCACTTCTATCACAGCTATATGGCAAGCTATAATCAAGGAATTTAAAGATTATGGTGTCATGAGTACTAGAGAGAAATCCTTCCATTCCCCAAATAATGAGCTGTAAGTATCTCAAT